GCTTAGTTACCGTAATGAATAAAAATCGATATTCTTCGTACACCAATTTGCCCAGGCTGTTACGTCTAATAAAATTGTAATTTGGTTTCGAGGACAAAATTCATTCCACCTATTCAGAGGTCATTATTTTTGTCAGTGAATATTTCACCCATTTTTCACCAGTGATATTTCTTGCATTTTGCCATACACACGTTTTATGGTTATGAAAATTGTTTGTTTCATGTTATTATTATTGTGTTCTCATTTCAGGTTGATGGCTGTTCCAGCTACTATGATATATTTTACAGCCTATGACCAATTAAAAATGTTTCTTGGGTTTGGTCGTAAAAATGCAGCTGCAGTTTGGTGGATTCCTATGTCTGCAGGGATAATAGCCAGAAGTAAGATCAGTAGCTCATCTATAGACTGGTGTAAAGTTAGTCTCACATTCAGATTCCAGCCTATGATTCATATTCCAGCCTCAGATTCAAACTCTAGTTTAAGCTTTAGATTTTGATTCAGAATCGTGCTTCAAATTGAGATTGATTCATTCCTCAAATTTATCTGATTCAGATTCCAACGGTAGATTCGGATGTCACCCTCATATTCAGGCCACCAAACTCCTTTTCAGATTCAGTTCATAATTAGGGGTTTGGATTCTAGCTTAGAATTTGACTCTGAAACTAGGAATTGAGAGCGAAGCTAGAAATTTGACACGTAATCTTTATAGTACAGTGACCCCTCGCTAAGTCGCGCCTCGGTAAGTCGCGATTCGGCTAAGTCGCGGGTACTTGGAAGGCTCCCAAAATTTCTATTGTGTTTTGACAGCAGTTTTGAAGTACAAAGACTAATGTTTCGTGGCATAGTGTTTTTAACTAACCGTTAAAGAGACAACTTAACACCTACTGTCCGTCAATTGCTGAGATGCATTGGGTGATGGCAGCCTTATTCAAGGTGTCAACAGGGGTGTCGAGTAGTGTCCGTACCTACTTCTCCGCCGGTCCCATTTTACCTCTAAAAAACTCGCTACAATGAGTTGAATTCATTATCTGATTTCTATTTTTCGATTGAGCATGTCAAAGCGAAAGCTATTCAGCTTGTTCGTACACCATAAACTCACAGCGATCGACCGTGTCAAGAAGAGGTGAAACCAAGTTAAGGGTTGCACGTGATCTAGCAGTGGTTGAGCCCACTATTCGTGGGTGGGTAAAAAATGAAAAGTAAATTTGTTTTCAAAGTTGACCAAGAGTCGGGACTGAACAGAAAAACATTCGAAATTGTCCGACAATGGTGACATCGATAAAGCTGTTACGTTTCTTCAAGAACGGTCTGCCAGAACTTCACTCTCTGGTCCCATCACCCAATGCAAAGCACACAACTCAGATATGACGACTTTGAATTTGAGGCCAGTTCAGGGTGGTTCTTGCGATGGCAAAGAAGACACGCTATCGATACACACAGTCTCAATCCAAGGCTAAGCTCGATCTGCGAACATGGACGCTGTCAGAACTTTTCCCGAAAAACTGAGAGAATTATCGATGAAGGTGGTTATTTTGATGAAAAAGTTTATAATTGCGATGAAACTGGTTTATTTTGGAAGCTGTTACCGTCGAAGTCGCAAGCAACAGCAAACGACCCACATAATATCGGACACATACAAAATTTACAATGCAATGTTTACAGCAAACATAGTCGAATTTTATTCGAATACTGCCTGACACATGTGATGATACATCAATTAACTAAACCGAGGGTTTATATGTGCTTTTTATATGTTTTTCAATGCACGACCTCCCTCTTTCACGACGTCCCTCGGTAAGTCGCGGCCCTCGATAAGTCGCGGTTTTTGCTTGGATCCCGACACCCGCGACTTAGCGAGGGGCCACTGTAATAGTATAGTATACTGTAAAATACTTTATTTTTGCTTAGAATTAATTTTAGCTATTTTCGCTGAAGGGATGATTAAGTGAAAATAAAATCCAGCGAATATATCTTTTTTCCTATATTTTACATTCAACTCGTCAAAAATCAGTGAAAATAAATTCCATACAAAACACCTAAAAAGTCCATTCAGGGAAATTAATTCCAGTTAAAATAAAGAATTTTACATTAAGTCATTTCAATCTGTCTGTTATCGTTATGCATTCTATAAATATTTTTTTCTTGACTTGTTTTAGTTGGTGCTGTATCTGTTATAAACCCTCTGGAGCTTATCAGAACCAAAATGCAGTCAAAAGCATTGACTTACACAGAGCTTAAAAACTGTGTTAAAACTGCCATTGCACAGGATGGTTGGCTGTCACTATGGAGAGGACTAGCTCCAACACTTTTGAGAGATGTTCCATTTTCTGGTAAGATATTTTCAATCCAGGAGAGCTTTTGTATGTGGGTGGATGTTCACCAAACAAATCCCTGATTTGCTTCCTATCAACTTTTGAATAAATAAGTAGGCCACATTTGAGAGACTTTAGTTTTGCATGCAATTCAATGGACTTGTTTTATCTCTTAGTTGCTAACAATTGGATTACAGCGATTTATTGCTCGGTAAATCTAAATGCCCTGTTTTCGAACAATTTCTGACCCAGATATGGCTTTATTATAGTTTTAACCTTTTTACTACCAGTTCCCTCTTTTCATCACAAATTCACAAAATAGTCCTGTTTATCAGATTGGGAAAAAAATGAAATTTGACTAAAAATTTTGTCTGTATGCTCCAAAATTAGGATTCGTTTCCACAAATATTGAAGAATATATTAAGAAAAAAATTGTGGACAAATTTGAGCGGGAAAATGAAACGGTTAAAGCTGTATTGTCATCTATATTGTATTTGACATTTTTGACCTTATAAATTAAGACATTTTACTTACAAAATGCACAGTTGTAAACTGTATTCTCTAAACATCCATGTACGAATTGCAAACATTTCTGTTCTATTATGAAGCTTTTGGTGTCATCATGTCAACAAATTGTGTGCGAGAGTTTCTAATTTATGATCTCATCCATAGAGTTAATATTCGATGTGAAGCAATAGATAATTTTCCGTTTACTGCAAGATCACGCGTTATGCGTGGAATCTAACGTGAAAACAGGACAAACAAAGGTCATAGCGTCGTAGTCGCGTCAAACATCGCATGGGATTCATCAAATGCGAAAGTATTTCGGGGACATTTCCATGCTTAATAATGTGCTGTACACATTTGATGATAGACAATTTCGATTAAGTGAGGGTATTCAAAAGCAATATTCCTCTGTCGAAGATCGCCCTTTCGATGTGAGCTACGAAATAAAGAAATTCAAGTTCCAAACAAATCGTTTGATGTTTGTGGCAGACGTTCAGCACACGTCTTTCATGCAACTCGCAAGATCTCGCAGTTGAACGGAAAATCACCTATTCTCATTGAGATCAGTCAACTGATAAATCACGCAAAACTTTGTAAGAGATAATACAATGTTTAGTGTTAACCATCAATGATTTTAAAATTGTATTTCTGTTTCTTTTTACCAGCAATGTACTGGACAAACTATGAAATCTTCAAATCTGTTTTATGTACAAGATGCGAGCTTAGAGAACCAACGCTGGCAATCAGTTTTGCATCAGGTGCTGTCTCGGGAATGGTATGTTTATTCTCTGTAAAAAGATCGTAGACGCAAATGGCTGTGAAGATCTCATTGAGCGAGACAATCATTTGACTTGTTTCTTTTCACGCAAATAATGTTCCATTCCCTTCCATTATCATGTCCACTGTTCAAATCTCCATGGTTACAGGGGAACAGTGGGTGAAATGATTACTGTAAAATGACTAATTTTCACTGGGTTTAAATTTCGCTGATTTATCATTTCAGGCATATTCAGTGGGTTTTAAATTCACGCTTTTATCATTTAGATGATGTGTTCTATGCTAAATTTTACATATTCCCTTTTAGTTTAGCGCATTTTCCAGTCAGCGAAATAAGCAAAATTAAAACCCAGTGAATAATTAACCCCTTTACAGTATAAAGAATGGAATGCTATTTGAAAGCGAAAACATGTATCGTGACTTTGCACTTAACGAGATGTTGGCAGCCATTTGTAATAAAGGTGAATCAGTCAGAATTCTCTACCACACTGCCATACTTCTGTCAGTCAAGCCTAATAAATCATGCTTGATCAAGTTGTGTTAAGTAAGTTGTGTGTTATGTCTTCACCTCTGCCTCGCAATACTGTTAAATGCAGTAATTATTTACTGGTTTTTACTTTTACCATCGAAGTTGGAAGGTCAAGATATATTAAGGGCAAAAATTGTGTCCGGCGTTGTCATTGTCGTCATCGTTGTCATCGTTAATAATTGTTATTGTGTGCACAATAACTTTACTAATTCTATTCCAAACTTCATCAAACTTGGTCACCTTATTCATCAGTATAAAGTCTTCATGGAGATCGAGTAACAGATGTCCTGTATGAAAATATCATGCAAAAATTGATAAAATCTGATAAAATATTTTGACTGTTTCTACTTGAATGATCACTTGTGGTACGCATCAAAGGTCACTGATCTCAGTGGAAATATGCATTGTTGTATGTGTTCAATGAAGCAAATCATTTATCTTGTAATAATAATGTATCTCCCAAATTCCATGGGAATACTATACTGGGTTTCAAAACCAACTCATGGAGAGATTTTTTGCAGTCTGATACACATTTGCAAATCAAAAACAATACATAAAAAATACATACAAAGCAAAACGTTGCATCCACATTTTGAAAAGAAAATTGTACTAAAATTATATGTATTCTGTATGTGACAAACAGTTCATTCGACAAATGAAAACTCACAGGAATATGTTTCAGCTATTATAACAGAATGATAGAGCTTTTATAATACTAGTTTAAAAACGCACTTCAAAGATTGCATTGTTTGAAGATGTAGATTCTCAGGAGGCAACAGTACTGTTGACTTCTTTCTCCACTGGACACCAACCAACTATTTGAGTTGATTTGCATACAAAGCAGAGCTTGCAACATGATAGCTATTCATAGAGGGTGTTTTTTTTTTACTTTTCATATAATACAGTAGTCACACAATGAATATAATAAGGCAGTTCATATTTGTCTCAGTGAATCATTAATTTTTGATAGACACCTGTACAAAATACTTGGACAAAAGCCAGCTAAGATTTTCTGTTATCTTGCATGTCTTATTAATCTATTCATGTCTAAATGCAGCACTTTTTTTCTGAGACTCAGATGAGGCATTTGTTTTATACTAAAATATCTGAATTACTTTGAATACAGCTAAAAATTATGTCCCTTAAAATAATTAAACAAATTTGGCACCAATGTTTTTGTAAGAGATTTACATCTATCAAGGACATTCGGTAGACTGATTCCCCACTGTTGGTTCAACCCCAAAACTTTGTTTGTATTCAAAATTAATTATGACAATGCATATTCATATTGAAACAAACTATGATAAAGGGAATAATATTATATAACAAAGGGCAAGGCCACCAGAGTTCAACTATGTTTTTATTTTAATTTTAATAAGCGAAATTTGCTAAATTAAATCCATGTGAACATGTGAACGCAAAGTTTGTTAACATCGAAATATTATGGTGCAAATCCACTTTATGTGAATCACAGGTGTTACCAGGGTAGTCGTATTTTTATAATCCCAGTATACAATCAATCCAATTTTTAGTTGATGTGCTCCTCTATCATAGATGTGCTTGTAATAAAGTGAAATAGGATGTTGAAGAGTATGGGCTTACATAAATTTCTTGTTAATTATTTTTTACTCACATGCATCTCTATTGGAGATAACACAGTGCAGTGATTTATGATCATAATTAATTATATTTCACAATAATTTACACAGATTGCGGGTGTTATGACCATGCCATTTGATGTAGTCAAGACGCACAGACAAACTGAGTTGGGAGAAAAAAACATACCAGGTAAATATCTTCTATTTGTTGAAAATCAACATTTTCAAGATTACCACCATGAGCTTAACTGACTTTAAAGTACAGTGGTCATCATGCCATGCCTGTATATGAGATTTGTGTTGATAAACATTGTTTTTCAAATAATCAAGCGCACCCTCCCAATGACTAGAATGAGTATAAGTGTTGACCTGGGTGCAATATGCACTAAATACTGACTTTTACAGCAAGTCTCAGAAGTATTGGGGCAGCCAATTTTGCAAACGCGTCCCCGATTGGCTATTAACTGCATGGGTTTCTAGCCCTGCTGGCGTCAACTTGTGGTCGCGTGCACTCTGGGTGAATCTATATTGCAGTAGGGTATATAGAATGCTCTTGCATAGCCTGGTACATGTCTGGGATTCCCCATTTCAAAATTTCATTTTGATTTTCTGTATTATGTGAGTCTTGATAATGTAAATGATGTTTACAATTGCAAAATAGGTAGCCAAGTACGATTAATTTACGCAAAAATCACTCACGTCATCCTTGTCAAATGATGACGTGTTCTATCATAATCACACCTTTTCCTTAAATTAAACTGTTAAGTTAATTTTTTTTGGCAAACACTTTTATATGTTTTCTTAAACCTGATGTTTTTTAAAAAAAAAAAAGCATCAGTTGCATTGTAGTCATACAGATTTTCTCGCCCAAATTTTGTTGCATATTTTCTTATATATTCTTTAATATTTCTGGAAATTAACCATTTGTCATTTGGAATATAGGACTATTGTGAACAATCCAAATTCAAAAGTGAAACTAACTTTAGTGCCATACATTTTTAATGGAGAACTGAAAGACTGGGTGTATACATATTGAAAGTGACCTGTAAAATGTTGTTATTTGCAGGAAAACAAATGCCAACATCTACACTGTCAATAATGAAGAAGATTTATAGGGAGAGAGGTACAAGAGGATTATTTGCAGGTATATACCAGTAATATTAATATCAACTAATTTATTGATCACGATTCAACCTAGGTAGCTCAATTATTTTTAGCTCCGCTGTCGACGAAGTCGAGCGGAGCTTTCAGTATTACTGATTGTTCGTCGGCGCTGTCGCCATCGTCAACTTTACATTTCCGACTTAAAAACCACAAACTGTATAGCTGAGAAACTTTCTAGGAAGGTACCTTGAGTGCTTCTCTCTCAGATTTGTTCATTTCGTGTGGATATGTTCAATTGTCTTATTTATAGCGAATAGTTTTGTCATTTTTGGTCAAAAATGCTATTTTCGACTTCTTCTTGAAAACCACTAGCCCGAATGCTTTGATACTTGGTATGTAGGTACCTTGGGTGGACCTCTCTCAGATTTGTTCATTTTGTGATGATATCTTTAATTCTCTAATTTTGGTGAATATTTTTGTCATATTTGGTAAAAAGTGATATTTTCGACTTCTTGTTAAAAACCGCAAGTCTGATTGCTTAGATATTACATATGTAAGTACTACATGTGGACCTCTCTCAGATTTGTTTATTTTGTGATGACATCTTTAATTAATTCTCTAATTTTGATGAATATTTTTGTCATTTTTGCTTTAAAACAATGAAATCTATGCAGCAAGAGAACACAGGAAATGGTGACACAGTCTTTCATTCATAATACCCAAAATTAATTCCTGTGAAAATATTTCAAAAAAAGTATTTCACAGTAATAAACGCCTTCCCCACCTCCAGTATCTCATATAAAGCTGAAACTCCATTGTAAAGTTATCTCTAGTAATGCACTGCACAAAAGCTCACTAAAAAAAATTTCACTAAGGTTAAAACTATGATGTGAAGTACTTTCCCACAATGCATTGTACACATTTGAATTCAGCGCAAATTCCACTATTTATGTATATTTCTCTATATTATAGGAATGACCCCAAGGATAATCAGAGTAGCACCAGCATGTGCCATAATGATCAGCAGTTATGAACTCATGAAGTCGTTTTTCAGAAAACGCAATTTACGGCTGCTGGAAAATGGATAAACTTGCAGCTTCATGCAATCTACTCCTTACAATTTGTTGTTGGATCTGAAGGCCTAGTATGTAATCCCTGGGATGAGAAAATAGAGATGAAGTTATTAAAATTTTTTCTGCTGGCACATCCTGATTTAATGGAAATGAAGACAGTGGGAGGCGCCATTAACCCAAGTGTTTTCCTACCAAAATTTGAAATACAAGTTTATCTAGGTTCATTGACAATTTAAGACAATCAACAAAAATGTAAATTTGCATAGTTTTGGGTCACAATTTAGTGACAAACATCTTGATTACTATTTACTGGGAAACAAATGTATCTTACGCAGGACTTTGTGTGGAGGGATATGTTTTGAAATAAGACTTTTACTCTAAGAGATTTCAGCTGCAATTTGCTTCTAGATCTATTACGAAGGCATTACCCAAGAATTACTGATTTATGAGAACCCAAAACTGTCATAGCTTATTCACAATTGGAGGGCAGTGCTCTCCCTGTTGCAAATTTGAATACAATTGACAGATTTGGAATCCATTCAGTGCCGATTGGTCTATTTTTTACTAAAAAATGTCAAGATGAATTAGGAAACATTACATGATGTATACAAGAAATGGTTGCCATTCATTGATTTCTATTTTCATTTACTAACTCGCAAAAAGAGCACCCAACACAAGTGATTTAGTTTGTCAGCCAATTCATATCTTTTACCGATAAATGATTTGGGGCCCATGAGGTATATGTAACACATGTAAAACCATTTTAATGTGCTATGCAATGGCCTGAAAGAGAAATATAAATATACTTTTTATTCAAAGCTAGTTTAATATTTTAAGTAGTTATTTTGATGCTGTTTAGTAGACAACCTACTGATGGACAAACCATAAAATTATGTAAATATATATATATTAACGATTTTGCAGTTTTGAATATATATAGTGCAAGATGTGAAAAAACTAGATTTGAGTGTGTCCACTCGTTTGAGTAGAGTTGTACGATAATGTAAGCAGTGGTTCAGCATATCATTGCTATGTTATTATGTAAGATTGAATAAATTTGTTTAAATCTCTGGTAATGGCTTTGAAATACGCTAACAAACAATTGAATCTTAATGTATGTGCATCCAAGACTTCTCAGTGTACATAGTACTCCCTGCACATTTATTACTTTCCAGCAATTAAGGAATGTTGTATTTACAGTTTTAGAGATGCATAGACATGCAGTATAATACTGTGAAAGGGTTAATTATTTACTGGGTTTTAATTTTGCCGATTGGAAAATGCACTAAATTAAAACCCAGTGAATATTTAGCAGATCACATTACCTAAATAATAAAACTGTGAATTTAAAACCACTGAATATGCTCGAAATGCTAAATCAGTGAAATTTAAACTCCGTGAAAATTCATCATTTTACAGTAAGCTTACTAGCTTAGTTGAATGTGTACCGGGTATTCTTACCACTGTGAGATAAACAGAAGTGAAAACTGTTCCCTCTGATAACAAAACCTTTTGTACTAGTTTACTCATAAATTAAAATAACCCAGAATTTATTCATTTTGCAACAAACTACTCCAAGGCAATACAAGGATATTGACTTAAAAAAGTTGGGGGTCACCAGCCTTATTTTTGAGAAATTGATGGTTTTATTTTAGTGGAAAGTTGCCATTTTGGCACTATTATAATGCTTTTACCATAGGTTCCTATGGCAGAGATATTATGCAATATCTAGCATGGTGACATAGGCCGACAAAATCATATATTGTGTTAATGAAGGAGTACTTTTATTTACTATTTAAAAAATCTGGGTTTTAAAGTGTCAAAAAATGCAATTTTTCCTTAACATTGTGTTCTATGGAATTGTTCTAAAAATAGCAATTTTCAAAAAATAAAATACCTGGTAATGCTATTGTACCATAAGACATTAGCTTCATGATTGTACATAATAAACTAATGAACATTGTCATGCGATTTATGACCAATTTTGTCAAAAATGATGAGTAGACTTCAACCTTAATTAGTGGTATTATATTTAAACAAGCACCAAGCCAACATTTCATAAAAAAAATTATCACGTATGCTTGTGCTAACTCTGGTCTACATGAAAACAATAAAAAAAATTTCCAATCTCATTTTAATATACAAGTTTAACAAAAAAATGAAAGTGAATGCCATGTCTGCTATACAATGAAATAAATGTTTGTGAACTCCAGAGGGCAGTGTTCTCCAGCAATACAAAATCTATTTTAACTCTAGCGACTACCACTGAATATTTCTGTTGTTGATGGCGGTTTGGATGGTGCAATGCTGGTCCATATATACCCTGTATCATGCGTAACTGGTATGACTTCGTACGGTGTGTTTCTGGCTTTATAATAATCAGATGGCGCATGACAAACGAATTCCATGTACTCCATTTTGCGGGGAAGATCCTCCTCCGGTCCTGCGTGAGCAAAGAGTGGATTTAATAGTTGTGTATCTTGTAAATTACAACAATTTCATGTGATTCATTTTCAAGTTTTTGGTAGAGCTGGTTGATACAAGTGACATCACTCTCTCACCCACAAATTAAGTACCACCAGTCCATCTTAAAGTTTTTTTCTCCAATCTTGTTGAATTTATTTAAGTATCAGTTATAACAAATATGGTTAAGGCTACATCTTGGGGGGAAAAAATGTGCAACTTGTTTTATCCTCTCAATGTACATTAGAAGTCATCTGCAATTCCCAAAACAATGATTGTGAAAACATTTTTTTTATTTGCACCATTCAGATATGAAACTACAATAACAAATAAACTACCCTTATGGAGTACATATCTGTAGTTACGAAGCCAGAAATGTAATGTCACCAAGAACAGTATTTTTTAACACAACAAACTTTTGGATTCTGGACCTTACCCAAGACATAGGTGGCAGGATCAAAGTGATCTTTAGAACTGGCCTGTGAGGGCAGTAACCATGTAATAACAGCACTCTTATCACAATACTGATCTTGCATGAAACCACGTATCTGAGCGTAATAGATTCCACCTCCTTCATCTAACAGGGATACTATATCACCTACTTGATGGTACATACCCTAATATAAGAAAAAAACATAAAAATTGTCAAAGCCTGGAATCTCATTCATGCCCGCCAGTTTTTTTCTGCTACACGTCAAACATACTTCAGGAAAAATACACTTACATGTTATTTGAATACTTGAATATTCATCCGGTAAATGCGCACAAGCGCACAGAATTTCTGCTTCTACAAGTTTCCACTTACCGGTACCTTGAATAATCTGGGTATGTGCAAGGACAGTGGTATTTTATACCTTTTTGATCAAAACCCATCAGCAATAGATTATGGCCCAAAACTAACGAATCAAGACCAATAAATTGGTATAGACATGACACTCTTATGGACCTAGTCGGTGGTTTAACAACGATGCCTCGCATTAACCAATGGGGGGGGGGGGTTGTAATAAGATGGTGGTGAGAATATGTGATATAGCTTATTATGTGATATATTAAAATAATATAACGCTTTCATTGTAGATTTTTTTTATTAAATTTGTTTAATAATTAGTGTACATGACTGTAGCTATATGTGATATATTAAAATAATATAACGCTTTCATTGTAGATTTTTTTTATTAAATTTGTTTAATAATTAGTGTACATGACTGTAGCTATATGTGATATATTAAAATAATATAACGCTTTCATTGTAGATTTTTTTTATTAAATTTGTTTAATAATTAGTGTACATGACTGTAGCTATATGTGATATATTAAAATAATATAACGCTTTCATTGTAGATTTTTTTTATTAAATTTGTTTAATAATTAGTGTACATGACTGTAGCTATATGTGATATATTAAAATAATATAACACTTTCATTGTAGATTTTTTTTATTAAATTTGTTTAATAATTAGTGTACATGACTGTAGCTATATGTGATATATTAAAATGATATAACGCTTTCATTGTAGATGTTTTTTATTAAATTTGTTTAATAATTAGTGTACATGACTGTAGCTATATGTGATATATTAAAATGATATAACGCTTTCATTGTAGATTTTTTTTATTAAATTTGTTTAATAATTAGTGTACATGACTGTAGCTATATGTGATATATTAAAATGATATAACGCTTTCATTGTAGATTTTTTTTATTAAATTTGTTTAATAATTAGTGTACATGACTGTAGCTATATGTGATATATTAAAATGATATAACGCTTTCATTGTAGATTTTTTTTATTAAATTTGTTTTATAATAAGTGTACATGACTGTAGCTATACAGCCATCAACATTAGCCATGTTGACCTTCATGGAATCTTCACTTGCGAAATTATGTTTTTGACTGTACTTACCCTGTAAAATATACTATTACTGGTAACTACTGTTGAGACTGCTTCTGGACTTTTTAAAGGCTACAGGAAAAATGACATTCAGATCAATATTATTTGCTACTTTGATCACAAACGCATCAATCAAATCATTTCCTGTGCACAACTGAATTCTTTATGTACGGTCTGATGGGTGAGGGGCTACTGGTAACCGGATTATAGTGCAACCAATTTCATGTGTTAGGACTACCCTGTGATAAAATAAAACTTGCATGACAAGAAAAGATGCTTGTAACAGTTGATCAAACATAACTTCTACACTGAAGCAGTGTTCCATCAGACGATGACTGAAAGGTACAACCGTTAATGATTTATAGACATCTCGAGCCAAAATTATCTTGACCCATGACACTTCTACCCAAATTGGAAATCTCAACCTCGACACACTGGACATCTCGACCCACCGCATCGATGCAACCCCATCTCAATGTGGCGACGTGAACCTCTATCTAGTTCAATGTTGATAATATTGCCCTTGATAACTAAATATTCTCGTGATCTTATACATCATGCTGTATTTGAATGATCGACATTTATTGATTTGAAACATTGGCCAGAGAACCTGATCGAACCGATCCCTAAACGCAATCCAGTGCAATGGATCAATCCAAAAATAACAACATTTTCAGGGGTTGCGTGCTGTGAAACGAAAGTAGCAAAAAATAATAATTCAGTGAAACAAACACTGTGGTTTTCGAGCACTGGAGATCGGGTTGAGACGGTGGGTCGTCTGAAATAAGTGGGTTGAGATGTCTAGGGGTACTGGGTCGTGTTGTCCAATGAAAAACAGGTCAAGATTTTTTGGGGTTGAGATGTCCAGTACCCCCTTTAATGGCCCTAACTGCGAGTTGTTTGATCATCTTGTAACCCTATTATAGCAGCGATACCTTTGTTGTACATTCCATATATACATACAGGATGTGAACACAACTTTGAATACTATCTTGGGTAGAAACGACCACACTGCTTGGGGCCATGATGTCCATAGCACAACCAGGGCCGTAATGTCTATTATTTACCGAGGCCGAAACGACTAGAAATCTGACAGAAACACCTTGCATCCACCACCACCAGAATGTTCCCGCTCATACACAACAACATTAGCAACATATTCTATAACATCAGTCTGGTTGTGGGTGAACATACTGGTTTTGACTCGCGTCGTTAGGTCGGCCTTCCCAGCCAAGGCTAAATCATCCAGATTGTGTTTTATAAATTATACTAGTAATTACTACACTCACATTTCTTTTGAACACAACTCGTCGACTTTTTCCTTTGGTTGCCAAGTGACTTTTCCCGGCATTCAGCATTTGTTTGTACCTCATACTCCGAGATGATCTCGATGATTTCCTCGTACCTTCCCTAAATCGACCATGGTGATTATTACCGTTCTGTGAGTCGTTACTGGATTTTGACGACGTTACGGGTTTGCCGCCGCCATTGTCACAAGCTGTCAATGCAGCCGGGTGTTGTTTCAACGAGCATGAATTGCATTGAATTTCGCCTTCTACGCTCCGCCTCCACATCTGCGAGTTGGTAGTTTTGCAGGTCACACAGCATGGTTTGACTCCTAGTGGCATTATGATGGCAACACACGACGAGTTTGGCATTAAACAATCTTATAAGACTTCTAACTCTATTTTTTTTTAGTATTCTATGATTTCAGATATTCATTCGACCTATGACCTTGTTAGTTTGTTTGTTATGCCTTTACCCTGCTACGTCAAATACGCCCTCACTGGCATCGAAATCTAAAGTAACGTTTTTATAATGGAGAAAAATGGTATCATCGCCGAACCAGGTATGAGGCACATAAAATTAAGAGGAAGGAAATACCGAAATAACATACATTTCACTGCGTTTCATGGTTTGAATAAAAATTTGAACACATTTGCTAAAGCACAAATAACACAATCTTTATGGCCAATACATTTTCATATAAGACTCGCCCTCTAGCGGCGAAGTGCTTCAATGACGTAAATGTAGTCGGTCATCAAAAAGAATTAAAGGTTGTTTTTAACATATGATGACCAACGTACCATCAACATAGTTGACATGAGGCCATGATCTAAAGTGCGTCTAGATTTAGTAATATCTTTTTTTTTGCAAGAATAAGAACTCCTGAAAGGTGTCAGACAAGATTCAATAATTGCACGGGAAATAGGATGGAACATGGTAAATAGATAATACCCGATAACAATTTCTAGACGCACTTTTAGAAAACAGTTTACACTCCGTTCATTCAAACATTTTTTGGACGGATATCTCAAAGCGTTTTCAAGATAGCGCGGGATTATCAATGTTTCGGGGGTTTAGCTAAAAACAGTGTCACGTGGTCAATTCGGCAACGTTGGGCACGCAATATGGTCAGTTGTATTTCCCGATATTCAAGCTTTCAGAATATATATACTTTATGGGGGTAGCTTTATGCATGGCTCTCCAGGAATTATTTATGTTCAAACTCCATATTTCCCTGGTCTCTACCTTAAACGACATTGACTTTACCCATATTTATTTTGACGTCACACGAGCACTTTGCCACTGGTGGGTGCGACTTGTAGAGGTGGGCGATGCCGGTTACGGTTGGTCACTGGGCAACTTTGCTATTTTTTCGGGGAAAGTCAAGTTAATTAAACATTGCTATAGTGGAAGTGCAAGAAACAGAAAGTGGTAATGGAAACCTTCGTCGGAAAGATAACAATCCGTAGATAAATCGGGTTAAGGATAGTTTCAATTCATTTCGTGTTTCAAGATTTACGTTACCACTATCCGAGGTTTGCGTTAAATTAGCGTATTAAATACGTAATTTTGCAAATAGTAAGTTTTATTGCGCACTTGGTTGTTCGTAAACAAGACATTAAAATCGATTGGAGAGTACTGTAAAACATGTCTTTTTAGCTAGCATAATATTTTAGCTAATTCAAGATGTCGCTAATTTAAAATAAAGTATATTCTCACAATAAGAATGTTGACACTTTTTTAAATAGCTAAATTAAGATTCAGTTAATTCCTGCATGGAGTTAAAATTAAATTCGCTTAAAATGACATGTACCTATTTAAACATGTTTTACTGTATATTGATATTATTCAGGCCATGAACTCGATAATTATACCAGTGAAAGGCCAAGTGAGCCTGCATATAATTTGTGTATAATGAGAACCAGGATCACGTGATTCAACATTTGCCTGAATTTTGGAATACAGTTCTTTGGAATACTTAAATATCATTATGGCATTTCATCGTAGTAGGTTGGTTCATCGCGAAAGTTGCCCAGAACTTGTGACTGGAGCTCAAAAAGACACACTATTTAAATTTCTGAAAACTGTCCACATATTAGTAAGTTATTTCCTCTCGAAAGTTGCATTGAACATGACGCTCAAAAAGACACTATTTAAAAATGGGCTGTTACATATATTTCAAGCCCTGACAAAAATATGAAATACAATGAAATGATCGAAATTATAAGTTTTCTGAGGGGAACTCAAATTCCAACAAGATATTGCTGTCTCAATAAAATATTATTTTTAATGAATTTAGCCAGTGAAACGAGTAAATCAGTGCTATTGTTTTTCATTATCATTATAAATTTTAATTGATTTTTTTAAATTAGCAAAGTCTGTGATGTATTTCGGCAAACTGAACAATCCCGTCAGTGGTATTTTGGTAGAGACATAATATTTATAATATGCCGTTCATTTTCTACTTTAATTTTCTGAATAGGAATCACATATCCTTTCTTCTTCACGGAATTTGGGTATTGTCTGACCCCCATCTATATTATTTTTATTGTAGTGAGATATTAATTAAGTTTGAAATTGTTTTTGAATTGCAGTTAGGTTCTACGTTTATTTCTTCTATTTTACCAGAGTCATTATTAATTTCATCATCCCAGTGCACTTTTTTTTATTCTCATTCTTATGATCTTGATGAATTTTTAACACAATTGTAGAGTTTTGCCTGTTTTGTTTATATACATGTCTGATAGGAAGCTCCGCGGTTCTCCGTAAACACCCACAATGGTGTTCCTTTTTACTCTAAGTATGAACATATCTGATCTATATTTGCTTTCTAATTACAATGCTGTTAATTGTATTTCTGGTCTATGCCCAACCACAGTCCTTCAACAAACCTCGGACAACTAATATTAATATTATTAGTTGTCTGAGAACGAACGGTTGAGAAACGCTATCGTTTAAAGGTGTGAAATACTGTACACTTTACGTTTACCCCAAGCTGGTTATGCTATGAATTGTGGGTAACATCGTCATACCGCCCTCAAATTGCTGTGCTGTTGTCAGTCGGTTGTTCTCGTTGCAGTAGTGAATTACTCAAATTTTCTGATATATATGAAGTTTCCGTTATTACTATTTGAAATCACAAGAGTCTTTGTTGTTGTGCCCCAACCCTTCTTTTTCAAGATTTTCATGATTGTTTCTTTGCATTTCCACTCTGCTGGCACTCAAAACCGTTCCCCAGATAATTGAGGTGTTTAACTGGTATATTGATTTCTTTTTCGTATTGAAAATATATTATTTGTTTTCTCTATGTTGACTGTCAGTTTCCGTGTTTAGGATTGGAGATTATTCAAACAATTGTGTAAACCTCATGTGGTTTCAGATTGGATAACTACTTCATCAGCGTGTAGGAGACAAATGGCTTTAATATCTTTCAAATTGGTGGGTGATATGTAACTGGATCACATATATCGAGAAGGTAATAGATATATTAAACAGCGTGGCGCTTAGATGACAGTTCATTTGCGTCCGCTTAGGAGAGAGTGCTTCATCGCTAGAATACGCGATTTCTAGGAAAGATGCATAATTATGATATTAGTGAAATTATAGATGCAAACATCTATTTATATCCATTTAACTTCAAGTTTACTGAATAAATAAAAATAATTGGCGAATATTGAAAGACCTCACATACGCAGTGTATACTCTTTCTTTCACTACCCACAAAGCGAGTGAAAATCCCAGAATGTGTGTTTTTGTGTTACATTTAAAGGGCGGCGGTCGTCGCGCTGCGCATGTGCGACATTTGTGTTGATAAACATTGATTTTCCCATAATCCAATGCGCTCTTCTAAGTAGGAGGTTTGACCTGGGCGCGACTTGCACTAATTACCGCCGCTGACTTCTTCGATACTTTCAAATCACCTAAACAATACCTATTAATTAAAGCTTGGTGGCGTCCCAGTTTATACTCGTTGATCTGCGCGACATTCAAAGTCGCCATCTTTGTTTATATGAGACCCGTATATCTCGCGCATGCGTGGCGCGACGACTGCCGTCCCTTAATACTAGTAAATAATTATGAAAATCAACCAAACAATCGAAAAGATATAACCCATGGGTTATCATCCTTAGCCAAGGCAAGTTTGTTCGCTATGACTGACTCGTGTGGCCTCCCGATCGTTAGCTTTAGTGAAAGCGTGCGATTCGGACGATGGACCGATACATATGGTTACATGTCAATGTTATTCTCTATTAAAATACCTTTCAATTGACGTAACATTATGATTTTCCAGTAATTTGGACATTTTTTCTCAAATATCATTTGATTTAGACAATTGTATCACTGTCGACTTACATATGCAAATTAGCTTTGGGTCATCCCAATTTTTTTGATATTAACATAATTTACCCATTAGATGACATCATAAACAACCTGAAAAAAAACTTGTCAGGATGTGGGGAAGAGGAACTATAACCCTGTGTATTTCAAAGACTATAAATGGATATACATTTTCATACATTTTAGAGAAAAAACAATAACTGTAAAAAACGAACTTCATATACTCCGATTTGTCTATACTTTTAATATGATGTAATATTGGATAAAACACAAAACACTGAAAAAGCTCTGTATATTCATGGAGGTATCATCCATGGTATATTTAACCTCCTGCCATAGTAACTGGAGCGGACTAGTACTAGTAAGTTGAGTACTAGTATATGCTAATCATCTTAGCGTCTACGATTGATCGTTGAAATATAGCGTACTGTGGGGTGCTGCACACAGACGATAAAGATCACAAAAAAGCGCTGACAGACCTTTTTACTAATTTTTTGGTATAATATATTGCGTGTAATTCGGCGTTTTCGGCGTCCTATCGTGACGTCATGCATATCGCCAACTGCATGAGCTGGCACCAAAACGAGGCTCCGAGTCAGCATCCGCCATATTTTCGAAGAGGTCTACGCATCATTGACTACACCAACGAATTATTCGATATTTTATACTTTTAGGGCTCTTCAGCCTCGATAGACCACAGTTATGGCGTGTGGTGGTTTCGCATGTAGTAAAAATGCCTTAGTGGCACTCAATGTCCTGTACATGGTAAGTGTGCATCTATTTTTTACAACATACATTATCTGTTCAGTTTTCTGATTCACTGCAGCAGCTGACGTGGCCGCAAATAATATTATTTCCGACAATGCTGGAACGGGAAATCTAAGCTTGTTATCTTCAAATAGGATAAATTCCTTCATATTACAGTGTTTATTTAAACAAATCGCTATTTCTGTGTTAAGAAAAGCCCCTGTTCGCATACGAGAATTTCGCTGTATGAATAAACACACGGCCCGACACGTGAGAATGATTCAGTATACTTCCGGGGTCTGTAATGTTTAAAATTAGCCGTTAAATGTATATATTTTTTTATCGTTCCTTTTTGTTCCTTTGTTGAATGTTCAAAGATCACTTTATGTTAAGGAAGCTTATGTGAAACCTTTGTGTATGATGTTATCTCACAACTAGCGAATATCTAATACGTGTACATTCATTGTACTAAATTTGCCGTATTAGTTTCACTATTTTAATGTTTAATTATTATTCAGCAATTTTAGAATTGAATGGTTTACATTTCATAATGGAGCATGCATTTTCTCAGTTTTAGTTAATGTGATCATAATTGAAACTGAGATAGGTAATTTTAACTAGCATATTATTTTGGATAATTATTTTTAGCAAGAGCAAGAATTCAATGTAGCTAATTTATGAGATTGCTTTATTCGAAACGAGATTGTTCTAATTTGTGCATTGAACATGAATGGCTGTAGATATGTATAACACAGTTGTTAAGAAGTTCATTGACCTCTATTTGCATACAATAACCTTTTTTTCGCAACATAGTGGTTTAAATTAAACAAACTGATTTATATCAGAAGTTTGGTGGTAAATTTGTCATACATTCTTAAACTTGGTCAATATCAACTACAGTTGTCTAGTATCCACAATAACATGAATTATGCTGCATTTTTAGGAAACTAGATTTGAGTACACTCTGTTCATCAACAAGTTTATGGTTCCCAGATGAGCATGCAGTCAGTGAGTGGACTTTAATAAATATTAATAAATCAGTGTAGTGTATGAGTAGGGTACTTCAAATTTCTCAAAAACAAGTATTGTTTGTTAGATCAACAGGCTTCTAATAGCCTAAACATTTTTGTATAAATGAAAGGTCAAGTCATGTGATATTCCAATTGAAAAACCATGGCTGTATTTTGATCTTCCATGTTCAGATTTCTTTTTTTTTTTGTGCTGATATGACCATCAATAGATAAACTTGAGCAGATAAGAATAAAGCCATGTTTGATTAGTCTACAATACATACTAGCCATGAGAGATAACAACTGAAGGGTAGTGAGGGTCGGTTCAAAGAGTATCTCTGCTTCTTGTTGCTGGGTGGGTCTTCAAATAGATGAGTTCATTAGTATTTATGGCAAGTTTCAAAATTATTGGAGCTGCAAGTTAGCAACTGGTTTTAAATTGGCGACAGCTTGTGATTTGACTAAACAGTTGGCTTTTCAAACTTGTTGACTAGTCATCATGCCCACTTCAGACAAACCTGTATAGCAGCTGGACACATAAACTGGTTTCACATTGTTGAATTCAATTTTAATCATTTGGATACAATCTTGTCTTTGTATGTTCTTTAAATTTATATACAATGATATTGAAAGTAACTATGGTGACCAGTTTGATCTACTTTGATATGTTGAATCCTGGGCAGAATTTGTGACAATCACAAGCTGACTGCCAATTCATGAGCTAGTTTTCCAACTTGTTGCTCCAGTACTTCTCAAGCATGCTGTAATCAAAAATGCGTTTTTCATAGCAGGCAATGGTGTACACAAGATGTTTTGTGAAATACTGTAAATGCTTTTAATTATTCACATATCAAAACAGTGAAATTAAATTCTTGTGAAAATAAATTGTTTTACAATAGGATTACCAAATCCAGTATGCATGATACACTGATGCAAGCCTGGGTTTGCGAAACTGTGCCTTATGCAGATGTGACTGAAAAAATGATGTATCCTAACCTGTTTCCATGGAAACAGCAAATTTTATGATTTCTCCATGGTGTTAAACTCTCCTCTGGCACAGTGTGCCCACTAAGTTGATACATCACTGACACAGTCAGATACTGTAAAGGGGTTAATTAATTTTATTATTCACTCGGTTTTAATTTTGCTTATTTCGCTGACTAGAAAATGCGCTAAATTTTAACCCAGTGAATATGTAAGATTAAACATAGAACACATTATCTAAATGGTAAAACTGTGAACTCCCATGAAAATCATACATTGATAAGGTAATCTTTAAAAATATCCTACTATATTTAATGGAATTTATTATTTGGTGAAATGAAATTCACATTTTATAAATCAAACAAGTGTTAAACAAAAAAAAAATATGTTCCACTACAATTAAATTGTTATCTTTATTTGTACTTGAAGATTTCTCCTTCCCTATCAGTCACCATGATGACTATTGAACATAATTTTTGTGAATTCCTTTTGACCGAAGATCCCTACAAAATCAGTCATGTTAGAGGGCACGTTGTCTATTGGCCGTTGGGTATCAGTTCAAAAGGAGCCACTCAGACTTACTGTAAAAATAAAAATTATAAATTTTTTTATTTCAACTCCTGAATTTGTTATATGTAATGAACATTTTATTTTAATATCTACATTCTAAGACTCCCTAGGCTGGTTTGGGTAAACCACTTGTTTGTTGTCGTAATAATAATCCCTTTGTTGAGGCTATATAGGTGAACTGATTTGTATATTGACATCATGAATATTCAATTTGTAAAAGTTTAACAAAATTGCCTTTGTTCAAAATGTGCACATCTGGTATTAAATTGTCTGTGCATGTTTAGTATGATGTATTAAAAGGGTGCTACACACACACACAAACACCATGTGGTAAATCTGTTCACTTCGCTTTGCTTTACGTATAATATGTCTTTTTGTATTGGTGTAAAATGTATTGTTATAATTGCATAACATTTGTAACAGAAGATGCGTGTCATCAACCCTTGAACATAATGCATTTGTTTGTACAACATGTTGATGGACAATATGATAATAATGATATTTATTCAACACTAAAACAAACTACAGTGAGTTGTTCTATGGTCGTATAAAATAAAATAACAAATAAAAAAAAAATATGATAAAATAAACTACACTAAAATACAGTCAAGTTAACGAGCTAAACAGAATGCTAAATAATATTACAAACACATAAAGAATCACAATAAACTTATACGGTACAGTACAATACAAAGCAGGAAATATGAGAGAGTGCTAGATTTCTCTCACATTTGGAGTATGCGAATCACCTGATTAATAATCTTCATTGAAATCATACCCCTATGGTGGGAAATACAATAAAGTTAACAAAGAATGCAACATAATTTTGAAAACATAAAAAAAAATAGAATAACAAATTTAGAAAGACTGCTGTGACTAAGCTCTAAATCGCATTCATACATATACCAATTTTTATGGTTCATCAAGCAGATTTAATGCTTTTTTCTCCAAGAAAGCCAATTAGGCTAGAATGTTCGGCAGACCCTGTAGCAGATATTGCTTCTAATGCCAGTGATCACTCGCTTGCCTATTCCAAATCAAGAGCTGATGAGTCTTATAGATGACCCTTAAAGGTCATACATCCTGGTACTTTCCGCAAGTATACATTTTTGTTAATTAGACTTTAATGACAACTGTACTGTGTGTGAGAATACCGGTAATTCCTATTGATAGTAAATTTGTATCCCTAGAAAGTACTAAGGAATGCATTAGGGCTAATTAAAATGCATCATTCTCCTAATTCAGAGCATTAAAAGAAGTTAAAAAAAATCTCATCAATCTTGTACATGTACGAGTTGATGAAAATTCTACAAAACAAATTTTTAGAGTAAATAAATATGGTTTCTGTTTTTGAATGATTTTTAATTAATCAGAATATAAATTTCAAGACTCTATAAATAGAAGTATAATTGACTTACTTTTAGACAGATTTTTAGCTATGTTGTCAACATCAAAAATG